ACAAAATATTTACATTTGATCATGTTTGTGATTGTATGGATGAATGTAGTGATGAACAAGAACAATACGCATTAAGTTATTCAACATGTTATAAAAGTGCAAAAATGACTTGTGAAGAACATTATTGTAATCCCTTAGAATTCTCCTGTGGCGATGGTGAATGTAAGCAGAATCCGTCTTTCAGATGTAACAGCGGTAGGGATATATTATATTTATCAGCTGTAAATATACCCGCCAGTTCAGCTTCTGCTAAGGAGATCATGTGTTGGAAAATTTTATCCTGTATGAAATGCTCATCTACAATTTTTCAGACTAAAATTGAGAATTGTAATATTATTTGTGATTATACTAACTGTCAAGTGACATTCAACAAAAAACCTTGTTATCCTGTCTATTCTTATCCTCCGAAACCTGTTCTTTTTCCTTTTATACGTTTAGTATATCGAACGATATTGTGTACTCAATATCCCCCTTATCTAGCGCCTAATATTTGTTATGATGTTAATATAACTTGTAAGAATCTTAAACCGACTCAAATAGATACTAATACTGCTCTATGTAATTATCAGGGAGATTTCTCCTCCAACGGTGTTCCTGACTGGAACTATCTTTTTGAATGGATAAAACGTATTTTTGCTGGATGTTCTCATCCATCCATACCTAAATGGCATATTGATTGCTCATTGCCTGGTACATATAATTGTAGAGATAGATGCATATCAGAATACAGAATACTTGATGGACACAATGATTGTGTTGGATCACATAAATTAATAGTTTCACCCTTACCCACCTTAGATGATGAGCAAGTTACAAACATAAGTTGTAAATTAAATCTAACAAATCCACGTTTTAAGTGTCTTAAAACCGATAAATGTATTTTAAGAAGACAATTGCTAGATGGAATATCTCAATGTAAAGATAATTCAGATGAAACATTTCCCATTAAATGTACTGAGTTAGACGATATTGGCTGCCAATATCTTCGAGGTGACGAGTTGTTGCTTTCTTCATACATTAATTTTCGTGAATATTGTAATGGTTTTACACATGAATATTACTATTTGAAAAATGAAACAGATGAAACGGATTGTAATGAATTATGTCTTACAGATTATACATTATGTGATGGTGTTTGGAATTGTTTAAATGGACGTGATGAGTTAGACTGTCCAAATAGAATAGTTGAATCATCCATAAAAAATGATATAGCGGAATGTGAAATAAATGAACATTATTGTTTCAAACTGAATCTAAACGGTACTGTTGATTTGACTTGTCTACCGATTGAACAAGCAAATAATGATATCATTGATTGCTTGGGTTCGTATGATGAACGAAAATATTGCCGTGATCAAAACATTTCATTACAATTGGAAACATTGAGGGGCTTTCGTTGTTGGAACAGTAATATTTGTATACATGCAATAAAAGTATGTGACGGTGTTACTGACTGCCCATCGAATGATGATGAAATGATTTGTCCTTGGAAAAAGTTCAAGTGCTTTATTCCCTTGATATATGACACGATTTTATGTAAAGAAACAGGCGTTTGTATAAGTGCATCAAGGCATCGTTGTACAGGCAAATTTGATTGTCTTCATGGTGATGATGAATGGCTTTGTGATCTTGATAATAAAGTAAAAGTAAATCCATTTCAAATAGATTACTTAAGTGAATATCCACCTGTAGTGGTAAGACGGTCATCGAGCAGGAAATTATCAGAAATTTTGAGTGTACGTGATATTATTTACTGCAATCGAGGCATTGTGGTTGAATCAAAATATCAGCCAACATACAAAGCTTGTTTATGTCCGTCATCTTATTATGGTGAAAAGTGTCAATATCAAAGCGATCGCATAACGGTTCATTTTCGAATTCAAACACGAAGTTCCATATCTCGTCAAACAGTGTTTAAGTTTGTTCTTTTCCTTCTTGACGATAATAATACAATTATATCTCATGAACAAATTAATCATATGCCCTACAAACAAAGTCTATATAAGCACTTGATATATTTACCCTATTTAAGATCGAAATCAGTTGAAAACCAGTTGTCTGTTCAAATTGATGCTTATCGCGTCACTATTACGGACTTAACATATGAATCTAGTTGGTATTTCGATGTTAAATTGTCATTTCTACCCGTTAATAGACTTATCATCAAATTAATTGTTAAAGAGAAAAATGAAGAAAAACAGCACACTCCGATAGAATGTAGTGATGTTTGTGTACATGGCAGTTGTTCAATATATCAAAATTCCAAAAGACAATTATGTTTGTGTCATGATGGATGGGCAGGCAAACTTTGTAATAAAAAGTCACGAAATGATACTTGTACTAGTAATAGTTGTGGTAAAGGTGCGGTGTGTGTAACTACAGCAGTAGAAAATCCCATTTGTATTTGTCCACTTGGATACACAGGATATAGTTGCCATGCTCGTTATAATCCATGTAAGAGTATTCAGTGTGCGAATAAAGGACATTGTCTACCATTCGATGATCGAACATTAAAATATATTTGTGCTTGTCCAGAAGATTATTTTGGTGATGAATGTCAATATAGTAGTGCAAAAGTGTCAATTCAATTTCCATATATAGATATTCTAGCTGTTGTGATACATTTTGTTGATCAGAATTCTTTAGATGCTTTTGTGCATCGAAAACGGCTTTTATATAGAAATATTCAACCGAATAAATATTTGTCAATTGTTTATGAAAAAGAGTTGTATTTGTCATCATTCATCTATGTACAAATCTTTGTTGATAATAATCGTTTTTATGGTACGTATTATCTTCTAGCTTTTCTTCCCAATAAAACAAAATCGATTGTTACATCTGTTAAAGAGCTTGATAGGTGTCCATATGTAAACGAATTATTAAATTTTACTTCACCTTTAAATGGTATTAAATTATATCATAGAATATGTCATATGAACAATAAAACACTTAAATGTTTTCATGATGATATTTATATGTGTTTCTGTAACAGTAATCGATATGCTGATTGTCTCATATTTGATCATCGTATTGGTAATTGTAGTAATAATAATGAATGTTTAAATGAAGGTCGATGTATTGACAGTGCACATAATGGAATCGTAACTATGGTTTGTATTTGTAAAGAATGTTATTATGGTTCAAGATGTGAACTTTCATCAGCTCAATATACTTTAACATTAGATGCTCTTATTGGAACAGAAATACAAATTGGTGTATCATTAAATAATCAAAAATTAATAATCAAATTAACATTTACAATTGTTTTATTCATCATTATAATTGGATTAATATCCAATACATTATCATTCATAACATTTTCTCAACCAAAAACAAGTGAAAATGGTTGTGGATTTTATTTATTATGTATTTCAATAATAAGTCAGATAGTTTTAATTGTTCTAGCAGCAAGATTTTTCTATTTATTAATAACACAAATAAGTATAAAACAAAATCGTTCAATAATTTATATTGGATGTATAACATTAGAATTTATGTTAACATTTTTCACACACATATTTGATTGGTTAACTGCATGTATTGCTGTTGAGAGAATGGTCGCTGTTGTTGGCGGAATAAAATTTGATAAAAAACAGAGTAGAAAAATATCGAAACTTGTTGTATTCATACTAGTCTTATTCATATTTACTACTACTATACATCAACCATTTTTTACTCGTCAACTAATTAATGATCAATATGATCGTATTTGGTGTGTTATGAGATCATCATATACATGGCTTGAAAAATATGAAACAATCATAAATATATTACATCTTCTTTTACCGTTAATTATTAATCTTATTTCAGCATGTATAATATTTACAAAAGTTGCTCGAATAAAAACAAATATATCAATAAGAAAACGAAAAAATATAAAAAATAGTTATTATAAAACAATAAGAAAACAAATTTGTTTAAATAAACATCTTTTAACAAGTCCATTAATTATAATTTTATTTCGATTACCACGTTTAATTTTTTTCATAGCATTTTTATTTAATTTTATTTTATGTTTAAAATTTTCATTTCAAAATTATTTATATTTAGTTGTATATTTTATTTCATTCATACCATTTATAACATCATTAGGTATTTTTGTTTGGCCATCACCATTATATTTAAAAGAATTACNACCTTTGACGTCAGTGACGAGACCTGTGTCGTATTATAGAGCTCAGCAGGCTGAACCGAATGGTGAAAACCACAAGTCTCTGGCCTTGTTAGAAAAGAAATTATAGCCATTTTACTCTAGCAGCGAAAAAATGCATTTTGTGGTGGATTTGGCCTAAATTGTAGAACGCCTGCTGACCATATTCTCTAACGTAGAACCTTGAAGTTGGTCTCAAATGAAAGAGCGCGTCGAGCTTATTAACAGGAAACATTATCCATCAGTATGCTCGAAAACATCACACTTCAGTAGTAATATCCAGAAAAGTGAGTGTTCGCACTTTCAACCAGAAATGAGTTACCCACCATTTTGTAGAGTTTTGAAAGAGCTTTCTTTCGATATATAATGTAGACCGCAATCTAGATTGTTTCATGGTGCGAAGGGTGAAATACTATTGTTGGCTGTGCTGAAAAGGTCATTTTTAACAGTAATATGACAAAACCGTGAGTGTTCACGGTGTACATCCCAAGTGAGCAATAGATAGTTTTGTTCGCCGTTTAAAGCTACATCGAATGGTGCATAGGACTTTCCTTCAAACTTGTTGTGTTCTGAGAAAATTACGAAAAACGCCTCGGAATGGGCTCGCGGAGCCACGTTGCCACAACCAAACGGTTGTGGCTGGAACAAAGACATTGTTGAAGAAAGCTTGGGGAAGTCAACGGATAGTAACAGAAGTCGATGACTCGCTGAAGTAACAAAACTTGTAATCTCGACTTCGACAAATGCTCAATGAAATAAATTAAAAGAACGTCTTACCACAGACCGGTCGAGCAGTTTGCGGCACGAGCCCCTTATTATGTTACATACGAAGAGAACTTAACTAAAATTTTAGTTATATAGTTACGTACTTAGTAGGTGTCTAAATCAACTGTGCACACTTTACTCTTATTGGTAAAAAACCTGTTTTTATCCTGAAGACAGCTTCCAGAAACCTATTACTAACAAATAAAAAAAAGTGTAATGAAAGTTGGAATATAAAATGTTCAAAGCACAAATCTCAGAAATGCTTCCTTCATGGAAAAAATACAACACTTACAACTTTTATTGCAAATTATTTTTCAAAGTTTTGTTTTTGTTCTTACAGCTGATATAATCGTACCTGTAGTTGTCGTGAAAGTTGTTGTAATCTTACGAAAAACAACATATCATATCAGCTATTCTCTGAATTTCAAAGCATTTAGAATGTCAGAAATTCAGAATTTTACAATTACACATTGCCACTATGATCTGAATTCCGAAACATTTAGAATCTCAGAATGTCAGAATTTGACGTTGTCACTCTGTAAAGTACCAGACATTTTGAATGTCAAAATCTCAGTATCTCAGCATGTCAGAATTTCGCATTCTTGCTATACTACCAGTTTCAAAACGTTTAGAACTTTAGAATTTCGGAGTTTCAGAATATTAGATTTCCGGAATCTCAGAATGTCAGGATTTGATATTGTCACTATACTCTGAGTTCCAAAACATTTAGAACTTTAGACGTACGGAATTTCAGGACGCTAGATTTTCGGGATCTGAGAATGTCAGTATGTCATATAAGCACGCATAGCAAATGTTAGAATTTCACATAGTCACTATGCTCTGAAGACCAAAACATTCAGAAGCTCATAATCTCAGAATGTGGACATTCCACATTGTCACTATACTGTGAATTCCAAAACATTTAGAATCTCAGAATTTCAGGTTGTCGGAATCTCAGAATGTCAGTATGTCACATAGCCGGTATAGTATTAATTCAAAAACATTTCGAATATCAGAATTTCGCATTGTCACTTTTTCCTGAATTTCAAAACATATAGTATGTCAGAATGACAAGTTGTCATTATACTCTGGATTCCAAAATGTTTAGTATTTGAGAATCTCAGAATGGCAGAGCCATATGGGCCCAAATGCTTTTAGGGTTTTTGCTAGCACACTATATATGTAACAGTAATATCTAGGGGCAAAATATCACTGGAATCAGAGGGGAGCACCTCAAGAGGTTCCCTCGTCAGCTTTTTGTGCTGATCATGAATATTACCTTGATTTTGTTTAAAAATCAATTCCTACGGTTAAAATAGCCAACTTTGGGTAAAAGTTTCCTCCCACTTTTTTATCGTACTGATGTCAATTATGAAAATTTTCCACAACCGAGTATGAGTATGAGTTATTACTGCGGTGTCAGGTCACCAGTGAAAATGGACTGCACATTCATGAGCAGCTCATTCAAGTATTCTTGTGTGTGTGTAATAACTCTTTTCACCATTTTTATGAAAATAGTGTACATGTCCTTTTCACATTCGGATTTTGGATTGTACATTATCACTTCGTTAAATCAACAGTGATTTCTGCCTAAACAACACAGAACATGATTTACAAGTAGAGTACGATGAGAACGCAAGATCCGAGCAAAGAGATAACCATGAAGGTATAGAACGACCTCAATTAAGATCATGAGGTAACTTTTTCTCATAAGCTCCTTATTCGATTCTCCAATTAGAAGTACACTTGAAAAAGTTTGCGATAAGATTTTCATCCAATACGCCTTTCAATCACTTGAATCTTTTCTCAAAATTCGTTAATTTATATATCACTCACTTCAGGGTTTTCTGTAGATTCGAAATACTACCTTAGAGAACATACTTGGGGCCAAGTACTTCGCCTGCGTAATGAAGCCGGTACGTGCCTTTTTTCAAAAAGTAAATTTATTTGTAAGTACTTGTCCTTACTTGACAAGTACTTTCATAAAGTACTTCTTAGCAATAAGGCAAGTATTTCGATCATTGACAAGTACTGAAGTACTTGCATCAAGTACGTTCTCTAGGGTACATTGGTTGTAATTAAAAAAGCTTTTAAACATTTCAGAATGAATTTTGGAAAAGTGAAAATATACTCTGTTTACACCCTGTAGAAAAGAAACAGGGTGTACAGTGTACTCATTGGTATTGAGACTTCCTCGTTAATGTTTTGAAAGGCTTTGACTAATATATATGAAAAAATAAAAAAATTACTGACAATTATATCAGCTAAGTAAGGAGATAGAGACGAAAGAGAGAACCATTAAATTCTTGAACTTCTATAACTTAAAATTCTATTCAAACAATGTGTATATTTTCTTGTTTAAAATAGAGAATAGGATAAACAACATTTTCATAGTAGATTCTTTAACAATACCCTCAGGCAAAAAAGACATGTGACACTGTGTATATATATACAACAAGATCACTAGCCTTTTTTCTTTCTAAGATTTATTCAGTTTTGTACACATACCTACTACGAGTGAAGCCTTCAAAGAATTCGAACAAAAATGACTGGACAAGTATGTAGAATTTAAAAGAAGGTGTAGGGAAAAGCGGCTTATTATGAAAAAAGTGTCCTCCTTTGAGAAACTAATTAGTGCTTATCAGGGGATGAAACTGTACGTGACAGCATATTAGGCGGTTGCTTTATAGGCTCTGATTATTCTATTATTCTAAATGATTCTAGTGATACACATGGTGGCAATTGGCTGCATTAATACTACTTATCTCGTTGTTATATTTCGTCAACACTCCTGGCAAGTTTTTTTCGGTCAGTTATATTACGTACAACTAGAACAAATCATTAATGGATCTAATCAATGCA